TATATATATATATATATATATATATATATATTGCACTCGTCCAAATTACTCGCATTGCTCTTTTTCTTCAGTTTCTCTTTCATGCTAAGAGCTTCACGTCAGTCTCCCTTGAGCATGAATGTTGTCCATCTTTTCTCCATGGTTTCCACTCCCATGCTTTTGCCTGTCATCTTTCCTATATTTCAATCCCTGCTTGCTATTTTCACTGTCATCTCTCTTTCTCTTGATTTCATGATCCCTTTGCCGCTTTGTCACTTTGCATTGCGACTTGTCTGTGAACTTTAATGTCCATCACTTGTACCAGTTCCTTTTGACTCACTAACGCCTACTCCATGGTGCTATCTCTACCTTGAGTGGCCTACGCATAATCGGATCGATTTATTATTTTCCTTTGTAATATATTTTAACTTGCATTCTGTGTCATGCATCTTCTCTTCAAAGCAAACAAATACACAAAATTATGCTTGATTTCTTTGCTTTCCTTGCTTTTGAGCTCTTTACGGCCATGTCTAGTACCTTCAAATTGTAAGTGGCCTAGTTGTGTGCCTTTGAACTATTCTGGCAAATTTGTACTGCTGACCCTCTGCTAGTGAATGAGCTATGGTTAATAACAGAGGAATATATTAAACCCATACATCTACCGTGGTTTAATTGAGACACTTGCGAAGAATATCTGAATGTTATGACTCGGTCCTTTGACATTTGTTGATTCGGCCTACTGTTAACGTCAAAATGATGGAATCATGAAATACTGATTTTGTCTACTTCCATTCCCATAGCTACTTGTTGCTCAATTAAATTCAAGCATAAATAATTCATCTAAGTCTGAAATTTGACCCAAAGCAGCCACTTTAACTGAAAGCTGTCTCTTAGGAGTGCATGAGATAATTAATTTTGGGGGATTATGATTATATGAAGCCTTGACCCCAAGTGTACTTAAATCCCAATATATTTTATAGGAAAGTCTGGTTAAAAGTACACCAAATCTCCGATAAGGAAGATCATTATTGATTTTTTTGTCACACTGGGCAAGCATGAGGGAGGATTGACTCTTAAGTATGGTTTTGACATCACACATCCATGGTAGATTTTAAAGATTTTAATTCAATTAAAAACAGCTTAAAACATATTAGCATGCTTAAAACATATTAGCATGGAAATGGGCCTTTAATCTAAAGGATGAATAGATGAAACAACATTAGTGTTCTTGATTAGAGAATATATCCAATTTTACGTACCCAAAGCTATATCATGTATCGTGTGGCCGACTTGAATAGAGTGAGGTGCATTGGATGGTCAACTACTTGAACTTGCCTTGTGAGTGACAAAAGTTACTCTATGTTTTGTCTATAGTTAGAGCTTTTCGCCAGTTTAATCTAGTTTCAGTTCTGATCCTCAATCGAGCCTCTTTAAGCTTGCATTGTTTTATATTCTTTTGCTTTTTACTTCGTGTTGTGATTAAACCTTTTTTTATTAGTTGCACTAGGATAAAAGTTTTGGTGATTGTAAATTTCATTTATTATTGTTTCCAAACTCGAGCAGACATCTTCTATGCAACCTTATGTTTGAGTTTTGTCATATCTAAATTATAACATGTGATAATTAGGAATTGTAAGATTCTGCATTGTGTATTGTTATACTAGTTTCTTATTGAGGATGTTGTTCCTTATGATATTTTCTTTTCTTGTTCTCTCTCTTGCCAATATATAGGCACATTTATTTTTGCATGAAAATGATTATTCAATAAATATGTAGTCTCTTATAACTCTCTCTTCTAACGGTGATTTTTGTTATTCTATCTATCTTAACCTTTTGGAGTTGAATTTAAATTCAGATTCTCTTTTCATTTCTATTCTGATATTTTAGATAATTTCTGTTAAATCTGTTATAGTATGAAATTCAAGTTGTTCTGTGTGGATGTGGCAATTCACTTTTAGATGACTGGTCGTTTAACTGATAACAGTAAAAAACGATTCAAAATTGATTTGAAAAAAATTATGAACATGCAATTATTTTGATAGAGTTTGATTAATCTCTTAGATAAATAATACACTTGCAGTTGGTTAGATTCTTGAACATTTGTCTTTGGTCTTTATTTCATTTGCTCCTCCATAATTTTTATGTCATAAAATTTGACATCTATTTTGAGCAATGCTATTCATAAAGATGGTTGGGACTTTTATTCTCTTGAAAACGTTTGAAAGAACACAATTTGCTGATTTATTGTGCTCTATTAAATAAATTCCATGTTATTTGTCAACATTTATATTAATGATATGTTGACTTTGTTTTTATTATTCATCAATTTGAAGAAAAATTAGCTAATCATAATTGTGAATATTCTATATTTTCTAAATATCCTCTAATGTAATCATGTCTATGATTCATTGTAGCTAGACATTTGGAATATGCTATATTTTGTAAATATTTTTAATTCATTTTCTAATATTGATTCAAGTGCATTTTTACATCTTATTTTCATTTTGTTTTTTAACGACAGATCCTGGATTTTTAATGTGCATGAACTTTTCAGTCAGCCTAGAAGTAAACGTTGGGCTTCTTTAGTGGAGCTTGAGGTAAGCTTTTTCTTGTTTTTTTAATTAGTTTTATTTAGATTGTTATATTATCAGTTTATTTTGCAAATGATACTATGATATGATGAACTGGATTTTACTCGTGGGTTGTTAATTAAAAAGTCGCTTCTTTGAAAGAATCTAAGCAATCATATTGCTACTTAATGGCTTTGGAACTTAGACTAATGAGGAAAATATCTTCATGAGAAGTAGAGAACTATTAGATTAGTTGAAGAAAAGCCAAGAATTTTGAAAGTATTATCTATTTGTATTAGGGTTGTTTCTATTATCATAGAACGTGTCAATTTTAAAGCATAATTTGGTGATTATTTTATCTTATATAATCCTAGTGATGTATAGTGATGAAACAAAAGATTTGTAACTGCAAAGAATTAAAGAACAAGGTTAATGAGGAAAAAGAAGAGAGAAGAAATAATTAAATAGAAAACTCAAAGAGGGGGTTCAGGGTGGTGGGGAGGAGCATGCCAAACATTAATTTTTTCAACAATCTAGTATTGGACCTCTATTTTGGATGGATCCTACATGGTAAGACTAATGGTGAAATATGCTTCAAGCTTCTGATTAGTGATCATATTACCTATGATAAATAAATTTAAAAATTAAATAAAGACTAATAGAATCTATAATTCAACCGAACTAATATGTCATTTTAAATACTCTACGATTTTCCAATCAATCCCTTAGTGGTGTAAAAAAATCTGCTCTTGATGATTCAAATGCAACTAGAAGAAAACTAAAATTATTTCTGCTATAGTGGCACCTGAACTAAAAAAATATTCAAATAACTAGAAGAAAGCTAAAATCTGCTCTTGATGATTCAATTAAAAAATTTATCTTTTTCTTTTTTTTTTGCCGCTTCTTGCTACATTTATCTTCACGACCATTATGTCCTTTAGTGGCACCTTAACAACTACTCTCATTGGCAAAATTTGAATACCCACAAAGAATTTCATATTGTGACCACATCTTTGAATTCCACATAAGAATACTCTCACGACTTGACCTTCATAAAGTTTTGACCACACAAGCTAAACCTGGTTTCAGCAGCTTTAAATCCCTGTTTTTCGTGTTTCTATTCAAGTACCTGAGATCACAATGTATAGAATTGTAATGAATTGCCTTTGTTGACTACAATAACATTTCTTATTCATCTGCTTAGCCCTTCTTCTTGTTCATCATGTTACTTGTCTATAAAAACTCATTGGATTGGTTGAAAGAAAAATATGAAAAGACCATAAGTTCAAGTGTTCTTTGGAAGATGACCTTGCTATTAGACTCCATTGACGAGATGCCTGTTTGAAGGAAATAAAAACTTGCTAAAGATCGCTACTCATATGAGCCATTAAAATGACAGTGATATGTGATTTAAGATATTCTATGACAACACAGTCAGTCTCGATTAAACTTAATTGAAGGTCACCATATATTGCTTTACTTTGTTCTGAAATAAGGTTCTCCATCCATTGATTTTTTTTCTGTATTCATGGCAGTTTATTTTCTTGCATAGTGATAATGCATGAACAAAACTCGCGATGGCCTTTGGGTGGTGTTCAATAGAATTTTCTCTCTAAAATGATTTCTAAAGTAGGCATGAAAATTATTTTTATTAATTGTAAAATCCACATAAATTAAAGAAAACTCTATTAAATCCCTATTAAATATTAAATACAAAAAAATTATTTTGAGCTCTATATGAGAGGTTTGGTTATTAGTCAATACTAGATGAACTAGTGTATGCTGCTTTAGGATATATGTTAATGTGCAGGGTCTAAACCTATGCCCTGGCATGTGGGATTGATTGAATGAATAAAATTCATGGATTGGATTGAGTGAAAGAGTAAAATTTCATGGATGTCAGGAGCAGTTCGAGAAGGCATGTCTGCCTTATATGTAGGAGGGACAGAGAGTGATAGACTTAGTGGAGCTTGAGTGCAGGGAAAGCTAAACACTGGTTTCATGAGGCGTTGACAAAAGAGATTGGGTGAACAAAAAGAAAGGAGCTCGTGTAAGTGAGGTCAATAGGCTGAGGATAAAGCTTTGAGCCATGCCCGTGACAAACATAACAAAAGAGTTTAGGTAGGTAAGCGTGCTTGTGCAATGATGAGCATCTCAGAGTGTGAGCTAAGTGAGTGAGGCGAAGTCGTCCAAGCTTTAGATGATGTTACGGATCTTAGCTATGAGCAATTTAGGACCTTCTCAATATACCTTGGTCATCTTAGCAGCATTATAATATTAGAAGTAATCTTTTAGGTTTTAGCATAATTTCTCTTTTTTTTCTCTCAATTTACATCATATGGTGTGCATTTAGTTTTTTTGACACGTCCTTGGATTAGCTTAGACAACATTGCAAATGTTATGTAACTTCAAATTATGCTGTTATGTACTTTAAGATATAAGTATGCATATTTCAACTTAGTTGGTGCAGAGAGTTAATCAGGAAAAAAAAAAAATCTGGACAATGCATCAGAACCAGCATTTTGTGTCACGAAGTTAATGCCTTAATGTATGGACAGAAGTTTTGCAATAAAGGATGATAGGTTGTCGAGGATCTTCATTCTAGTAAGGTCACTAGTTGGTATGATCAACATTGGGTTTACTATATAGTCAAGCCTGTGATAATGTAGCAGGATGAGATGCCTATCCGCACCATCAATGATGACATTCGTATATGGTCTAAACTTGGACCTGGGAATCGGTACCCTTTAAACATGTAGAAATTCTGGCCAAATGCGTGTCCACACAAAATGACAGCTCTAATCGGCATGGAAAACCAAAAAATACTCTTTCACAGATCCCCACTAGAAGAATATCTTATTACAAGAAATATGTTGCTTCATAATTGCAATGGCCTCATGCCTCAGCTTGCCCTGTCATTGGCATCAAGTATCTCATTTCTGTCCTTCGCTGATCCGCATCAAATTTACAAATAAAATCATTACTCCTTTTCAAGAGGCGCATCTTACTTTGGTTTATGGATAATTGATGTGTATTATTTTACTTATCCCAATCAATTCAACTTCTCACTAGACACACTAATGCAGTGCATAGGAATTAAGATGTAATGTTTCTAGTGAAGTTACTCTCTAGATCAAATTTTTTTCCCGTAAGTCTTGTTTAAAGTTGATATTATGAGTTATCATTGCATGGTTATTGGAAAGATGTATTTTTTCCAAGTGAACATCTCTATGAGACAGGAATTTGTTATCGCTCTCCTCAATGAATATGATGCCTCATACCATTGTAAGGCAATGTCACTATAATATTTTCATGAGTAAGATTTGTTTCTGTGATGAGTTTTATTAGTTTTTCTTAGATGAAACTTTGGATAATGTCAAGAAACCAAGACACGTTTTCTTATTATCAACTTGGATTTGTAGATTTTGATAATAATGCTAAAATGGCTGTGTAAGACAATTAGGAATGATTACATCAGTGGATCAATTGGAGTGATGTTTATCAAAGGTAAGAGTAATTGAGAGTCGATTTGATGGTTTTGTTTCGTACAATGATGCGTAGAAAATGCAACAATAGATGAATATAGAAAGTTTTGGTGGTTTTGTTATGTACTGTGAAGGGCAATTGAGAGTCATTTTGATTTTAGAGCAAATATTAAACTCCTTAGACAAGATTTAACAGAAAAAGAATATGAAATGATGATGATGCTTCTTTGTTTAAAGTGATTTTGGTCTAGTAATGTAGAATGAATTTTTTAGTAAAGTTGCCGATGAAATTCAACAAGCTATATAGGACTGGAAATCCTTATATTGTGTTTTTGCTGGTAAGTGGAAAAGTGGATTTCTACTGCTATATCTGTTTTTGTTACAAAGTTCGGTAATAAATCTAAGTTTGTTTTGTGAAATGTACTTCTGACACCTGCTTCTTTTGTCATTTGGACATAATGGTGGAGGGGATGTGGTTAAAGATTCGGATATTGTGCCTCTATTGTTGTTTTGAGGTCACATTGTTCCAATCACAAAATTAGCGATTTTGCAATGCAAGGGTAAGCTTATATGCTACCCGTCCTTGGACCTCATAATGGCTTGAAGCCAAATTCAGTAGGTATGCGCTTGAAGTGCTAATCTACCTTAATTAATTTAATATTCTTGAATTTGCTCTTTTGATTGAACATCTTCTTTTATAGTATTTTGATTTCATAATTGGACAGAACCTTCAATTCTTTTAACATATTTATCCATAGCCTTGTAGCAGGATGTTTTCTTTGTATTAATTATCCATCTAATTATGCAGTTACCCAGAGCGTGATTTTCCTTTTTACCATAATTCCATTAACATTACCAGGGAACTCTGTTTTTTTTTATTAATGTGTAGGAAGAAAAATGTTTGTTTTTTTGTTTTGCTGATTTAAACTGTTAATCTTCTAATTCGAAACACTGTGAAGAGCTTAAGAAAAACTGGGAGTTGTATCATATAGCTCAGACAGGCATCTGTGTTTTACTTCTTTTTTTTTTTTCCTATAAAATTTATGCATCGAAATTTGACTACATACCTTCCTTCATTTTGCAGGGGCAAGGACATTCTAATGCATTTGACTGTCCAGAGCTAGCTATAGTTACTCATGAAGTTGGTGAGGTTAGAAGATGGATGTTCCAGTGCCAAGATTATGTACGGCCTTTGGTTGGTAACCTTGGTACTTTGTCCATGGAGCTCATAAAAGTATGTTAATTTGACACAGCGCTGTCCTATAGAGGATAGTTGTTTGGTCAAGATATTGAGGTAAAACTTTTGTTGTTTGTCAGATCAAGGAAACCTTTCATAAAGCATTGTCAATATGTAGGAGTTTGAATGGATCTGAGACGAAAACTGTCTGCGTCTGTTGCCCCAATGATTCAGAAAAGCATAGTGCGTGCATGACCTGTGAGGACCGGTATGTACTTTTTCTTTTTATACTATACAGGGTGTTTTAAACATGAAGTAATTTGTTTTTTAAAATATGAAAAAAAAAATTAATAAACATATTTTTATCATTTTAATTATAAAGCAAAAAACCAAACATAAGTTGTTGCAAATGGGAATCATTAAGGTTTGTTTTGTTGTAAATGAAACTAATAACTATTTATGAAGGTATAGCTTTGTCTCTGTTCTTAATAGCATGTTTCCTAAATATCTTTGAAATTGATTGATTCATCTTTTAATACGATCTTTCTACTTTTAGATTTTGTCTGCTTGATTTTGATAGGGCTACTTAAGGTGCTCCACTTGACATATTCAAACACACGTCTTCCTCATTCATATACCATAACATTTACTTTTATTTATTAATTCAGCTTGGATGCCTATGAGTATGTGAACTTTTAGTTCATATGTATCAGGTATCATTTCTCATGCATGGGCTTATCGCTAGCTCTTGAATTCAATGATAACAATATATGCCCGTTTTGCTTTTACATGAAAAGTGGAGTGGGTGCTCAAAATGGAGAGAAAGCATTGGTAAGGACTACCCATCAAATTTTGAGTTAAACAGAATTTTTTTTTTTCGTTTGTTATTTAATATATTTCTTCCAGTTTTGTCGAGGGAATCTTCCTGAATTAAAGTCATTTGTAAAGCTTGTTTCTGCTGCAGAGGACTTCTATCCGGGGTATAGTATTTTTTTTCACTGTTTCTGTGCATATGTTTTATTATTTACAGATCAGTGGTAAAAAAACAAGCTGTGTACAACTCTATTTTTTTGGTATCTTTAAAGTGCCTATAACTTTGTTTTCATGCAAATTTGGGATAGAAAGTTATTTCTTGGCTTTGATGAAGATGTTTTAAGTAGGCTTTAACTGGTTTGAAAGAATTGAAGGAAGAAATAAAAGGAAATGAAAAGAATTGAATTGAATTTTATTTTTCACTCCCTTGTTTGGTTAAGGAAAGGTAGAATGAAAGATATATATTTTTTCTGTGTTTTTTTGCTGACGAGGCATCGAGTTTTTGTTTCCTGTGAGGAGACCTATTGACAACATTGGCCCTATGATGTTTTCTTCATGCTTTTCACTATATTTGGATAGAGAATTGTCAATAGAACATTGTTGGTTCGGATTCTCCAAGGTTAAATCCAATTAACTAATTACATTGGAATTACATATCGAAATTGGAATTGTGAAGTAAGCAGCATTTGCATTCCCTCCAACCTTTAACGTTGTGGAGCTAAAAAATGATTTTCCTTGGACATACAAATGAACTGTATTGCAATCTTATTATTGCTTTAAGTTAACTTACGAGAATTTTATGTATTTTTTATCATTTGTTTAGAATTTTCTTTTGTATCAGCTCCTAGGAGGCAAACATTCAACTATCTTTGTTGAACTTATACTACATTCCGAAAATAACATACGACACATTCCCGCTCCATATGGTAGAAAACTTTTGCATGGTATGATGTCTGTGTTGCATATCTGCTGAATTTTTCTGCTGAGCATGTGATAAATTCATTGCACAGTATCTTCAAATGGGTCGATTGTATTGTAAGATATAAAGTCGTATGCTGGATAGGAAAATGTGAACCCATGTATTATATGCATGCAACAATTGGGCCAACATATGTTATGATAATTGAATGATAAGTTCTCATTGTTTATTGTATTAAAAAAAACCTAATTCTATTCTTCAACCCTAATATTGCTTTATTCATAATCTGCATTACCACTTCATATGTCTAACAACCCTTGCCTTCCTCTTACCTCAATTCTCAAGTTGCAAATTGAGTGATGTTCTAGCCAACTCTTCTGAACTTTGCCACAATTTTGTTAAGCTACGACGTTTGCTTTTAGGTCACATCCATTGCTTTGGAAAAATGTTGAACAAGTTTTTTCAATGAGCTTTGATCTAACTTCTATGATTTCATGTTAACCTAATCTCATCTCTCAATATTTTGAATCTATTAACTTAGTAAGAGGGAGGGAGGAAGGGAGGGAGGGTTGTGGGGACTAAAGTTTGCTTTTGAGTGTTACGATATTTATTTAGGGCATTTATGTGCATACCACATAATTCTTATATATTTACATGTCTAATACGTAAACTTTATTATTTACATGCTAGTCACTCAAATTTTTAATATTTCGTCAAGAATACCACTATAACATACTTTTTAAAAAGTTAGTATACATTTTCATGCATATGTTTTTCAGATCAAAGTATTATAGAGGTAAATATGAAAGTTTAGATGTTAGATATGTAAATATATAGGAAGGGTTTAATTGGGTATATACTACCAATTTGAGAAATAAACAACAATAGGAAAGGAATGAAAGTTATATAAAAGTCTCAGCACAAAAGGCTCTCATTAGTCTGAAAAAAAAAGTAGGGAAATATTCAAAGCTCTCATCTCTTCTCTCCCTTTTAATTTTTTTCTTGTAATTGTACCATCTACTTGCTCTTCTCACTCTCGTTTCTACCCAAAACCGAGCAAATGACGTGGCTCACACGCAATTGTCTCTCACATATAGCATCCCTCCTCCCTCGCTCTCTCTTCTGAGGCTCTTTCTCGTTCCTACACACCCCCAAGAATCCTATAGCGTTCTCTCTCCTCCCCAAACGCACAACTCCCATACCTCTCTGCAAAAAAAAAAGAAGGCTCTTTTCCTCTCCCTCTATGCTTGCCCAAAAAACTGAGAGACCTACTCCCTCCTTCGTCGTTGTAGCCATCGTCGAGAACCCAACCAACTTTCTCCACACGACAATAACCTGAGCTGCTACTCCCCTTCTGCATTTGGAGAAATCTATGTCACAGTTTGGCCGAAAACCTCCCAGCACTTCCACCATCACACCCACTACTATTCTCATTGACAACCCTATTCCCGTCACCGCTCGCCATTCCTCCTCTCTAGCTGACAATGGACAAATCTGAGACCACCTCCTCCTCTCTCGGTTTCGCCCATAGCCATCACTCTCACGATCGGAATTAAACGGGAAGGCAACGCGGAGTGCAACATTTAGAGACTTCAAACTCCGGTGACGCTCCTCACCGAAACATCCTCTTGTCGTGAGCTCCCAAATTGAAACATGGCATCCCGCCATTGCATAAACCTCTACCCACTCCTACCCAAGAGAGGAAGAAAGAGAGGGAATATTTTTTTTACGCCTCAGAATTTGTGCATCGTGCCACTTCATTTCGATCTCAAAAGTTATAAAAAGTTGTGTTCCTAAACTCCATTATTCCATTTGCGACACATTTGTTGCGATGAGAGGAACCTATGCTTACTTTTTAAGAGTGTGGTAGGGGAATCTTACACGCGACATTTGTGACAACCTATGTATTATGTTATAAAATGTTATAGTTATAATGTAGCTATAGGTGTAGTTATAATTAGTTATTATTATAGAATAATATAGCTATAGATATAGTGTGATTATAGTCATAGAATAATATATCTATAGTTATAGTGTAGCGTGTTGTCGAATACTATAGCAATTGTTATACTATAGTTATAGCTGTTTTTATTTTTTGTTATAGTTGTAGAACGCTATAGTTATAGTTATGATGTTATATATTTTAGTGCAAGTTAATATTGTTATAATTAGCTACAGTGTATAATACTATAGTTATTATTCTATTTTAATTTGTTTCATAATATTATAATTATAGTTAATTTTAGTGTTATACAGTGTAATGTAATTTAATGTATTTATAGTTATGTACAATTATAGAACATTATAGTTATACTTAAAGTGTCTTTATTGCTATAATTATACTTATTAGATGTAGAATTGCTATGTTATTATTAGTTATAATCGTAGAAAATCATAGCTATTGTTAAGAGTGCATTATATTTTAGAATATTATGACTAATGTTTTTTTTAGTTCTAGTTGGTAGCTATAGTTAGTTATAGTTGTATAATACTGTACATCTGTTCTAATATCAATATTGTTGTAGAATACTATAGTTATAGTTATAGTGTTATATAGTGTAATGTAATTTAATGTTAGTATCGTTTGTTATAGTGTAGAACATTATAACTATATTAGTGTAGTATGCTGTAGAATATTATAACTATATTTATAATGTAGTGTAATTTGATGTAGTTATAGTTGTATTTTTAGTTAGTTGTAGCTGTATAACACTATAATTATAGTTATAATATAGTATGTTGTGAATGCTATAGTTATAGTTATAGTGATGTTATAGTTGTGGTTATAATTAATTATAATTGTAAAATAGTATGGTGATAGTTTTATGTAGTATGTTGGACAATACCATAGTTATAGTTATATTGTAATTATAGTTATAATTAATTATTGTTGTAGAATAATAATATATCTATAGTTATAGTGTAAAGAATTCAAACGCATACTACACAATAACTATAGCTATAGCATCCTACACTATAACTATAAGAAAATTACATTACACCACACCATAAAACACCATAACTATAGCTAGAACTATAATATTTAGAATGCTTGGATATAGTTAGTTATAGCCGAGTGCTATAGCTATGTAGTGTTGTGTAATTTAGTGTAGTTATAGTTAGTTAGAATTATTGATTACTATTGTTTTTTTTACAGTTTAGTATATTTTAGAATACTATAGCTATAGGTATAGTGTCATTATCATTATAGTTATGTTTAGTTATAGATGTGGAATACTATAACTATAGTTATAGTGTAGTAAATTGTATATTACTGTAGATATAGTCGTGTTTTTAATTTATTGTTGTTGTAGAATACTAAAGCTATAATTTTAGTGTAATATGTTGTAGAATACTGTAGCTATAATTATAGCGCAGTTATAGTTAATTATAGTTGTAGAATATTATAGCTACAATTATATTGTTTTATAGTGTAGTGTAATTTAATGTAATTATTGTTATTGTTGTAGAATACTATGGCTATAGTTATAGTGTAGTATGTTGTAGAATTCTATAACTATAGTTATGATATAATCATTTATAATTATAATTAGTTATAGCTTTAGAATACTATAGCTATAGTTATAGCATTGTTCTAATTGTAGTTATCATTATTTATAATTGCAGAGTGCTATACCTATAGGTAGTATAATTATATTAGTAGTTATTATATTACCATAGTATAGCATAATATAGTATAATATTACATGGTACTATATAGTGTAGTGTAATTTAATTTATTTATAGTTAGTTATAGGTGTAGAATACTATAGCTATAATATTCTACAACCCTTTACATCCCTACACTGCTCTCTCTCAAATTTTGAAGGTCGTACCATTAATGACTGGCTGAACTGAGTCTTCTTGATCCAATCTTTAAGCAATGATATCAGACGAAACCCAAGCCATGATAAGAAAGTAAATATAATTACTGAATTTAAATTGGGTTACAATGACAACTCAACATAAACAATACAAACATGTAAACGAAAAGGACAACGATGACATGCAAAAAATATGAAAAGCAAATAACACAAGACACATAAAATGACCCTCTAGGAAGAGAGTGGCAGATCTGGGAGGGTAGGAGGCATGGTGGTTGACCGAACAGCCACCGGAAGCTGAGTGTTGTGGACTGGAAAGCGGTTGGAAGATCTAGGCAGCAGCTGGCAGGTGGTCACAGGCTGGACTGCAGCAGTAACCAATGTTCGAGGGCTGGACAGTAGTTAGAACAGGTGCTAACTGCTG